TATATATACATACAGTATGTATATTAGCTTCTTGGAGGAGTGTCAGACCTTTTGGATAATTGTTTATCTTCTACATTATGTGACCTAAAGTAAAGGGTCAACATGTAAAGGGAGGGGTTGAGTTAACAACAGGAAGAAAGCTTTGACCCAAGTTTGGTTAACAACAAATACAGTTTTTTCCCAGAAAGATTAGTTTCAAGTAAAACAAGTTTATAATGGCTCTTCCGCTTTTGTAAACCACTGGTTGTTTGTTGGGCAATAAGGCTTTAAGTAGAGATTTTTGTTAAAATTGCATCATAATTTCTGGGCTTGAAGGGATCTAGCATACAGTATGTGTTCAGACAAAATGTGGATTTTTTAATTATTATTATTATTATTATAATTTGGGAGGAAATGGACGTAATGTGCTCCTGAACAAAAACTAAAAAGGATCAAGGTTGTTTTTAGCAACAAGTGCCAGTTTCTCTCATGGTATAAGGGTGCATCGGTGTTTCTATTGTATTCTATTGTATACACAGGTGCTCAGAGGTCTGGATGAAGGGGCACTGCTGGTCCAGACCTTCAGGTCCTTCTTTACAAACCGAGCCAGGGTGGGAGAAAACTACATTAAGTGTGTTATACTTCATGCTGCCCTTAAGAAGAAGATGATGTAAACCATACACTATAAAAGCAGGAGGAAGCGGGAACCAGTAGCAGCCTGGCCTACGTGCAGTTCTTACATGTTCCTAACAGAGAATACGGTCAAAGTTTGTAAAATCTGAGTAAATCACAGATGACTGAGAATAGCAGCAAACCTTCAGGCAGGAACAACGGTAGAAATGAACATCTGAAGCTTTCATCGTTTGGTTCTCCCGCCAAACACCATGTGATATTTCATAAAGCACACACGCTCAATAAATAAACCCGGTCAGAAAATATTTGGCTTTAAGGGACATGTCTGACGTCGCCTTGTTCAAATGGAAAGACTGTGATTGTGAAACCAAACCAACAGTTTCCTCAAGAAAAAAAAAAGTCCAACGATAACGTTTAAGGATAAGTTTATCATTTAGCTCCAGTGAAATACTTCCTGGAAGGAGTGACATGGCAACAGCAGTTTGTCTCATTGGGACAAACAAAGTTGCAACAAAAACAAGTATTAATTCATGTGGGGCCGGAGCTGAATGATTATCTTATTATTAAAATCCTTTAATCAGGCAGCATCTTTAACTTTAGTGTGTAAAATTAGAAACCTGGGTGTCATCTTTTGACGAGACAATCGCTGTAAAACGCTAGTTCGTAACTGTTTTCATCATCTAAGAAACATTAAGCTGAGATCATCTGTGTCGCAGACTGAACCACAGATCCACGCCTTCATATCCACATGGTTGGATTGTTATAACGGCCTTTTTAAAACCAAGATAAGAGCTCATATTAACGTACTTTTCACCGTATAAGTCATACATTTTTGCATAAATTATTCTGCCTTGCAACTTATGAAGCGAAGCGACTTATTTATGTTTTTCCCCAAATTTATAACCGCTTTTTGGCTGAGAGCTGACGATTTCATTCACTCTGACGTGGAAAATATTGAACACTACCATTTTCAGCCACTAGAGGGCGACTAATATGGCAAGCCAAGCGTCTCATTAATAGGTAAAAGTAGCTATTAACGAGACGCTTGGTTTGCCATACAAAGCCACCTTCGTCTCGCTCCGGAACCCCTGGAGCAAACGTCAAATCAGCCGCAT